GTCCAATAATAAAGATCTACTGATAGTCAGTGTTCCTCTCTACAGTCTGTATTGCAAAATGCAAATACCCCCATTAACTATTTTTGCCAGCAGAATTTGGCCAACATTACTGCAGAGCCAACTCCCCCCTCTTGGTACAAGAGTATTCAATACTAATTGTTATTTCAAGCTGTGCGTAAGAGAGAAAATACTGCAAAAGGAATGGAAAGAGATCTGAAGAGCAGCAGTAATCATCTGGCCTCCAAAACAGATTTTGGCAGTATGCACAGCTTACACATTTATTACTCAGTCAAGCAGCCTAACAGACACCGGAATCTCAGGATGAGGATACAATGTCCAAGATAATTCTGGATACACACCACATTTGATAGTCAAGAAATCTGCAGTGAAAGGCAGCTACACTGAATGATAATCAGCATTCAATTCAATAAAATTATTTTTCACACATTTTATTACAAACTGTGAAAATTAATGTTACACAATTAAAAAAAAAAACAAACCACAAAACCCACAAAAAACTCCCCACCAAACAAGAAAGAACACAAAGTTCTTTTGGCACATTTATGCCTAAAAGCCTGAGTTTTCAAAATCAAAGAACTCTAGAGAAAACATTCTGAATTTATCTTAATTGTACAGTTTTCTATTTTATTGAAGCCAGAACCGTAATGACCTGTTTAACCAGATATAATGAGTTTGGATTTTGGTAGAGCTTTTCATGTCTCACCATGATGTTAAAAGTATTAAACAAGTAGCAGATCATATCCACTGAATATTTAGAAAGACTGTATCATGTCAGAGACATATGTGGATCAACTGCTGGTTAAAAGAACAGGAATGAAATAATACAGAAAGTTTGGTAGTTGATGGTCACCAAAGGAGACACTGTGAAAAAAACCCACAGCAATTGGTTAAGGGCATGCCAAGGTTCATGCTGCTTTATAGGAAACCCAAATTCAAATTTTTTAGTGTTGATTCTTTTACGTAAAATGGGTTTATATTTTATAGCCGGTACCTGCAAAATAGCATGCACCTAACCAATTTAGTCTTTCAAGGCAGAATAAATTAACCTTGGTTAACAGTCTTTCCTTATCCTACCTTATTGTCTGTCATTTTCAGAAATACAGAAAGTGAAGAAATTGTTCCATTGTACAAAAATTCCAGTCAAAGAGATAAAATTCTAGTCAAGATAAATAATGTTGCAGCATCAAACCAGAATTTTTCAAATTATACCTTAAAGTTCTGATTGCTGCAGAGTACTAAGTACTGTTATGTCAAAACACTTTATCAGTAGCTGAATATTTACAAGTATTACGAACCACTACAAAGCTAAAATTGATGTCCACTACCAAACTTGCTATCAAAAAATAATTTATACCCTGGAAGATTTTAAGGAGCAGGAAAATTTCGATTGTCGTCCCAATAAACGGAGGGTATGTTTAAACAGTATGTATATGTTATGCTCATTAAGCTATAAGACTCATCAATTAATCATAACTTTATTTATGACTGTTTTAATGGGTTCTGAGCAGGGGAAGCCTTTTTTCTTGCTAGCAGCTGTCCAAACATATTCAAAGTGATGTCATTATGTTCAAGACACATTACTATCAACCTGACACTTTAATCAAGTCTTCAGTGCTAATCAAGCAGTGACATGTGGAAGCAATACTTCAATTTCTCATTTAGGGCAAGTAAAGCAGGAGTAACCACACACAAAAAAAGCAATCGTTGTTTGTGTGCTTTGCCTGACACCTTTCCTCAAACTACACCACCAGTCCAGACTTACATCTAGAGCAGCCATTGCAGCAGATGGTGCTTTCCGCAGAAAGGGCGATGTGTGGTGGTACCCACAAGGCAGATTCACCTCACCTGTCTCATGCTGAGGATTTCCTCTAATTTCTGGCCTGCAGTTCCCATATTCTGCTCAGGGATAAGCAGGGAACAGTTTTAATGGGGATTTAGAAATAATACTTCTGTTATTACTAATAGAAGATGCATGACTAATTTCCAGTGCACATGACCTGAAGGTCTGTTCTGTTTTCAGCAGCAGATTGATTTTATTTCAAAACCTAAATAGGACTCTTGAAAAACACTGAATTAAAAGCCTGATTTGGGTCTATTTTACTGGAATTGCCCTCTCCTGCAGTGGGACTTTAATCCTCAGAAACCAGCAAATAAATGAACTCCTTAGGCTTTTCCCTGTCTCTACTTAGATTCTGACACCAGATACAGGGAAAAGCAAAAATAACTTTCATAATATTTCTTTCTGAAATTAAATAAGCCACAAAGTAATAACTTGGATGTAGTGAATAGATATTTTGTACTGATGTAGCATGTACTTCTATAGTGAAATAAAAGGGGCTACTTCACAAGAAGCTCACCATTGTATTTCAAAAATAAGCAAATCACTACATAAGTAGGAACACAAAGAATACTGATTTATAGAACATTCTAGTGTTTTGGGTTTAAATAGGTGGTGCACTATTAGAGAACTACTGGCTAAACTAGGGATGGATCCACACACTCAGAATTTCATATGACAGAAATTTGATACTTGGTTCATATTTAGAAAAACAAATAATAACTGAAAAAATGAAGACTGAATACAGAAGACAAAGTGTGATCAACAGATCCAAGTGAAAATTCAGATTTCAGAACATATGTGGCACTAACTGTAATTGTCCCTTTCCCTTAGAGACAACAATCTGCTACTGTAAGAGGCACTGAAAGAGAAAACCAATCTCAAGGAAGAGTATGCAAGTCAAATATCTAACTATTAAAACCTATTCAGTGAGATCCAAAGCAGAATTCTTTGTTTCTCTTGGCAACCTACAAAGCTTATACAATAAGGGAGAATGAAATCCTCTTTTCATGGTGTAATTCAGTAAAAAAAAAATTGGTTTCCAAGCAATAAAAGTTGTAAACTGTGTCTCATCCACTATTTCTCACAAGGATTTGTTGCAATATCTGTTTTGTAAATGTTCACTAGCAGACTATGATGTAGACAAGGATTTGAAGATTTATTGCAAACTATTTTCTAAGTGTGCAACTGTTCCCTACTGTAATAGGCAATGAAATCTCTGTCATGAAGTCACAGTTTAGCTCACATGAACAGGAATAAAAATGACAAAAGCATTCAAGATACGTTCTCAGTCTTTCTAAGGTAATAAAAATTGCTTGTAGATAGTATTGCTGTGAAAAGAAAATTAAACTCTAGGTTTAGACATCTGTTGGTGAACGACTACATTGCAATTGCTCACTCTGTTTCACATAACACATGAAGTTTGTTACTGTAAAATAAAAGCTGGTGACAATTTTGTGCTTATTGATATGAAATCTGTGATTTTTAGGTATTGTCAAGCTGTTATCTCTGCAAACACCATCTGTAACCAAAATTCACCCAGCTACACAACACGAGGATTCTGCTGACACAGAATTACAGTCTTCTTGGTAATTTTCTAGGCTTCCACATCTCTGGTATCACGAATTTCTCATGTATCATATATGTTTCACATGCATTTATCCCTCTCTCTTAAAAAAACCCCAAACATTTCTGCCTATTATAATTTTTATTAGATACTAGAGTTGTGCCTTTCCTATGGAAGTCATAGCCTGTCTTCATTTTTAGGTTAATGGGTCGCACAGTAACATTATCTAGCATGTGTTTTTAAAGGAAATAAGTGTCCTTAGAAATATCATCTAAAATGTTAATTCAACAGAGCAACAAAATATTTTTTACATACTCTTATGATGACAATCTTATATCAAACCTCACATGGTGTTTACAAATATCCTAATAATTTGAGACAAGTTATTATAACATTTTAAAAGGAAAGTATCAGTTCTCTTCAAACAAAGGAACATGGCCCATCTTTTCCACATAATCCTGCAATTCAGGTGCACTTTACCACTTATTAAAGCCAGAATCCCAGAATAATCTTCCAGGTCTGTCAGTCAAGCACACCACATAAGAATATGAGCTACTAGAGTTCTTTCCCCCATCATAGTGACATTTCCATTTTCATCCCCATGTCATTTATATAAGCTGCACATAACCGTGGCCATGAATTTAAAAGAGCTCAGGTCACATTAGGGTGTATTTCCTCTTGATGAGATTTTGAAAGAGGAGAAAGACTGCATACTTGAAATTAGGACCCTAAATAAAAAACAAAACAAAAAAACCCACCCAAACAAAACCAAACAAAACAACAAAACCCTTAAAAATACCGATTCCACTTTTCTTCCCCCCTTCTTAAAATATGCAGTCATTTTGAATATTTTTGAATGATTTTTTTCTTGATGACGATAACAGAAAAAGGAACTTATTTTCACCTTGAAAGTTAACTTAAATACTTAATTTTGAAATACAGTTAAAGAATCCTCAGCAAAATATCTATCTATCTATCTATCTATATATAGATAGATATATATATATATATATGTATTAATTTTGACACAGTTTGGAAATAATTTATTCAAATCCTCTGCTGAAGTCTGTTACTGCAATTCTGGAAATGCACTGTATGCAATATAAGTACTACAATCTCGCACAGCATGTTATTTGCCTGAACTCTGTATGCTTCTGGCATATGCAAAAATGCTTTCAGTACTCATCTCTGCCTAAGGCCAAAACCATGTAAAGAAGAGCTGTCGAGAATTGTTTGTAGTAAATGAGGA